ATGGCATTACTATCCAGCTTTTGTATTTTCCCCTTGGGTATAGTGAGTCAAGAGTCGTAGAAGGTAGATTTTGTTGAGATGAGATTCTGAAATCTCCCCAACCCCTTTACTTATCAGGAGCCACTTCTAGTGTGTTACTCTGAGCAACTTGGAATATGAGACTGGGGAGTGATATAGTTTGTAGGTTTATTTCCTCCAAATCTCATGTTGAAAAATGATCCCCAATGCTGGAGGTGGGGCCTGGTAGGAGATGTTTGGGTTATGAAGGTGGATACCTTATAAAAGGGTTGGTGCCCTCTCCACGATAATGAGTGAGTCCTCATTCTTTTAATTCATGTGAGAGCTAATTGTTTTAAAGAGCTTGGCATTTCTCTTGCTCCCTCTCTTGCCATGTGACATGCCTGGTGCCCTTTCACCTTCTACCGTGAGTAAACGCTGGTGCCATGCTTTTCGTACAGCCTGCAGAATTACAAGCTATATAAACCCCTTTTCTTTATAAATTGCCCAGATTCGGGTATCCCTTTATAGCAATGCAAAATGGACTAATACAAGGAGCCTCCTAGAAGCATTCAGAGGGAGAGAAGGTGCTTCCATTGGAAAGTTCATGGAGAAAAGGAAAAAAAAAAAAAAAAAATCTTTGGCAAAACCGCAATTACTTTTGCACCAATCTAATAGAACCAAAATCTCCACATCAGTGTGTTTAGGGGGTGGGATAGTGGACTTTTCCAGAGGTATAAGGGAATCAGAATTGCCCTGCTTCCTTAAGTATAGTTACAATAGCAAGGATAATAACAATAATAGCAACTACAAGCATTTACCTTTATGGGCTCTGCATGCATGCGAAGTGGTATTCTACGTCTATCACATACATGATTTCATCAAACCCTCATAATAAGTTCACGAGACAAGTACTATTACACAGACAAGTTACCCCATTTCACAGATGAGGGAATGGAGGCACAGAGAAATTGAAATAAATTTTGCAAGGCCCCGAGCTAAGAAGTGACTGAAATGGATTTTAAGTTGAAGAATGATGCAGAATCTATGTTCTAAACCCAAGACAGTGCTGCATCTTGGTGATGACATGAGCTTCTACTTATTAAGGCTTATGAGGTGCTAGGTCCTGTTTTAAGAGCATTAAAAATATTACATTTGATCCTTAGTAACCACAAAATAATAGTGCTATTATTGGTGCTAATTTACACATGAAGATATAGAAGAATATAAAAGTTTTAAACTTTCATAAATTTATGCATCTAGCAAGTACTACCATGGAATTTAAACCCAGGCAGACTGGGCCCAAGTCCCTTCTGACCTGACTGGGTCTCAGGATTCTGAATAGGTGAAAACACTGGACCCTAAGAACTGCAGGGGAAGCACTCAAGCCCATCAGCTACAGAAGGCAACAGCCCTGAAGAAAACTTGGTTCTGGGTTTGAAAAAGTAACCTATCCCAAACTCCATCTCTTCTCAGATTTCATCAAAGTCACCTGGAGTACCAGAAGGATAGCACTTGCCACCCATCCCCTTCTCCATCCTTATCAAAACTTACCTGGAATATCAGAAAGACAGCACTAATCTCCTATTCCCTTCTCTTCTCCATCCTTAACAAAGTCACTTGGAGTAGAAGGGCAGCACTCATCCCCCAACTCCTCCTCTTCTTCATTCTCATCAAAGCTCAACTAGAGTAATAGAAGGATAATACTCAATCCCCATCCCCTTCTCCATCCTCATCAAAAGTCACCTGGAGCATCAGAAAGACAGCACTAATCTCCTATTTCCTTCTCTTCTCCATCATAGCCAAGGTCTCCTGGAGCACCAAAAGGACAGCACTCACCCCCACCCCTTTCTCCATCCTCCCAAAAGTTACCTGAAATACCAGAAGGATGGCACTCATACTTCAGCCTCCTCTCTTTTCCATCCTCTTAAAGTTTCACCTAAAGTACCAGAACGGGCTCGCAAAGCACCACTAGTCTGTGACCTCTTTGCCCTGCATTCAGGTTACTTTTCAGGTTGCAAACCTTCAATGAAGATTTGCATTGAACTTTGATCAAAGAACTTGTTCTTCAGTCAGTACTAATTAGTGACTAAAAAAACAGCAAGAGAGCCTCAGGACAGGTCCACATGCAGGACTTTCAGACTGGGTAGAAAATGTCAAGACATAATGAAACTCCTTCTCTGAATCACATCTGGGGAATGAATGGCTGGGGAGAGCCAAATCCTGAAACACATGAGAAAAATAGGAGAAGGGAGCACAGTCCTCTTGGGGTTTCCTGTGTCTCTGCAACATCCTCAGGAGGGGAAACATTCATGTGACTAGAGGGAGCCAGGAGGCTGCCTTGCCAAACATCTCCTTGCTCTGAGTTTTGCTCAGGGGATGCTGCATGAACCTGTCGTGTTAATAGAAGTTTCATGTCTGTGGAATATTTGGAAGACGTAAAAGGATTGAAGATTGCTCTGAAATGTGTAACACCTAATATGGGACAGGAAGTCACAGCTGTATGGACTGCTTGGGGTCAGGGCTCATCTTGAACACACTCACTCATCATCAGAGGAACTGCAGCCCAGAGAAGGGAGGTGACTTTGCTGAGTGCATGGAGAGCTTTTGGAGCAAGGAAGTCTAGGTCTCGAATCCAGGCTCCCTGACTCCCAGGACAGAGCAATTTCTGCGGTAGCTCAACAACAGAGGGAATAGGGGTTTGGGAAACAGACACTGACATTTTTTCCTTAATATTCTCCCATTCCATCCTTTAAAATGCCCCCAGCAGAGAGGATGGGGACTGAGAAGCTGGCTTTCAGCTCTGGGGCTGTCACATCTCAGCAGGGGTAGATTGAGACAAGCTCACAAGCAGGGGCAGGTGACCTTGCATCAAGTCCAGGTTCTTTAACTTGTTTGCTTGTGACTGTGGACACATCCTTTAGCTTTCCAGGTTCCACTTTCTCATCTGTGAAACGGGTCTCATAAACTTGACCTCTTTGGTCATTAGTGGAAATTAAATGAGATATGGATAGAAAGTAGCTAATTTAACAGCTCTGTTTATGAGAGCAGTTATCCTGTGCCAGCTTTGAAGCCACAGAACTGCCAGCCTGGAGCCCAGGAGGCTCTGAACATCTATCATGGCTGGCTGGTAGGGGGAGGTTGTGAGTAGAAATGCCAATGAAAGTGGCCCCACTGGCTGCAGACACCAAATCCAGAGTCTCTCTCACTCCCCAAGCAGCCAACGGCAGCCCCACTGCAGGCTGGGCTGAGCTCTGCCTGACTCCCCAGCAAACACCCTTCCCCTATTCACCTCCCAAGACATCTGGGGCAGCTGACTCAAGCACCAATGAGATAATGTTTTTATTTGTTCTATTTGTTTTTTGTTTATAAACCTGGGCTCCTGGCAGAAGCCAGATTCAAAAGTAGGTCTGAGATGTGAAGGTCAGTCTTGAGGCTGACTGCAAGGCCGAGGCCCAGCTGGGGAAAACACCAGGCCACCACACCTAATGGCCAGGCCAACTGCTCGCCGTTGCACTGTTACAGTGCTTCTCCTCAGCGCCCAGCTGTCAGCAGGAGGTTGGGGAGGCCCAGGCACCTTCTAGGACCCAGCCCTGGAGACCCTCCAAGGTGCTCTGAAAAAGCAAGAGACTATGATAGAATGCAATATGATCGAGCTGTGACAGCAAAAGCTTGTGGGCTTATTTGAGGATTAAATTAGTTGTAGCAAATCTTCAAGAACAGCTAACAATTATTCTTATGAAAAGGGAAGCTCTGGAGCTTTTGAAGGAGCAAGAAGGCTCTATGCTCAGTCTTGGGATCCGGACAGTGTGGAGTGAAAGGGAGGGAAGTTTTGGCAGGGGCAGGAGGGTGATCTAATTGAGACTGGGCCCTTCTTCCTCTAGGCTGATGTGCATCCTTATCATAGAAACCAGCACTTTTTTCTACCCACTCTCTGCTGGAATATATGCTAGGCTATGCTTTGCAGAGGTCACAGAGATGTTTAGGACTCAACTTCTGTCTCCCGCAATGTCCATAGGTCTGACGAGAAAGACGATACATGTATAATCACACAATTGTGCAAAGCATGCAGAAACACTCTGCAGCATCCCAAGCTCCTGAACCTCCCGAAGCCTCAGTTTCCCCATCTGGACCTATACAATTGGTATCATAATTATATGCTATTTTATAAGGCTTTGTAGAACAGTCCTGTAGTAGTTAGTAGTAAAGCAGTTAGCAGAGCTCCTAGCCCATTGTAAGAGCTCAGTAAAGGCTACTGAGTATGATGAAAGTGATGACAAGTATTGTCTAGAGCCAGTAAAGTGGGGGCAGTGGATGTATGGTGAGAATGGAAAAGGGGACATTTGGTTTGGAACATGAAAGATGAGGGGTCCAAAGTGGCTCCCGCCGGAGGTCATGGCGCTCGCGAAGGCGAGGTCATCAGTTCAAGGCTAACCTGAGCAACCTCATAAGCTCAAACTGATTGGCAAAAAAAAAAAAAAAAGAAAGATGAATAAGAGTCAAGTAGGCAGAGGGATCAATGTAGAAAGAGAACTGGCAGGGAGGAATGAGAAGGCCCTACATTTGGGAAAAACACTAGCAGTGTTGATGTGGGTTAAAATGAAGCCTGAGCTGCTTCTTGAGCATCTGCAGGTGGCTGCAGAGATGAAGAGTCACTTCAAGAACTTCAGGAATCTTGGGTGTCAATGGATATGTTTTGTCTTACAGACTGATGGTTTTAAATCCTCCCTTCCTCTCATCTTTTCTTCCTTTCTTCTCTTTTCTTTCTCCCAGTTTTCCTCTCTCTCCATTTCCTTTTAGTAATTGAACTTTTTGTTTGAAAGCAATCTTAAACAGAAGCCCGTTATAAAGAATAAAGTGAGGTGGAAATGCTGTTTGAAAGTTACCCAGGAACTGTCATAGCTGGGGTTTTTCCTCAGAAAGCAAAGCCTGAGATAAGCATTTGTGGGCAGGTGGTTGCTTTTTGGATATAACCTCAGGGAACAGTAACAAGTGGGTGGGACATGGAGCAAGGAAGAAAGCCAATACCAGTGTTGCCATATCCAGCTGAACATGGACAATGGAGACTGGATTCTGCAGGGACCTTCTGTGGACCATATAGAAAGTTCTTCAAACCTGTCTGCCTGAGTGTAAGAAATGGGGGTCACAAAATCTGCCTACTTTCTGCCCCCATTGGTTAAGGATTGCCTCATAGGTTAACTCCCTTGCATTTCCAAGTTTTCCCACGTGTAGATGTTGAGCAGGGTCCCATGGTTGCCCTACTTCATGATGTTCCAGAAGCCCCAGGGCAGTAAGTCAGCCAGGTGGAGGTGCAGCTGGGGGCATTGCCTAGACCCCACTGGCAATGGCTAGTGTAGAAGGTGGGTTGAGACTGGAGAGAGGTGAGTAGGGACAGGAAGTTCATTTAGGCAACAATTGCTGCCATAGACCAGGGAACAAGTGGTGAGGGAGGAAAGCAAATCATTTGGAGTGAGAAGGAAGGGGAGGTACCATTTTGGAGAATGGTGAGGGAGCTAGAATCCATGGGGGCTGCTGACGGCTTGGATGTGGGAGATGAGGGAGAGTGACTGGAGTGGTTGTTAGGTATTGAGCTGGGGCACTGGACAAAGGGCGGTGCTACTCACCCAAACAGGAGACTCAGAAGTTGGAGGAGGTTTATTTATCCATTTATTTTAATGGAACAGATTTGTTTCCCTTTTCCAGGTAGAGAGAAAATGAACCCTCAGCTTTCCTGTAAGCTTCCACTAAGTGACTAGCTGCCTGCATGAAAAAGATAGGAAATTCAAAAATAATGCAAGTGGGGTTAGGACAGGGTGGGTGGTGTATGCTTAGGACTTGCCTTTTTTTTTTTTTTTTTTGCCGCCATATGCTCTTGTATCTACAGAGCAGCTACCTTCTTCTCTACTGACTTGTAAGCACATAGAATCCTGGTGCTGGAAAGAAGACCCCGTCTTTGTGTGGAAAGAAACGCTGGGCACAGTGAAGTGATGCACCTGTGTTCACGCCGTGAGTTGGGATGTGAATACTGACTGTAGCCTAGGCCTGATTTTTGTTCCTCTTCCCTTCCCTTGCATGTCTCCTTTCTGTTCACTCCTGCCTTCTTATCTTAGGCTGGGCCTAGGGATACCATGAGGTTTTGGTTATCATTCCCTATTCAAACAAGCAAGCAAGCAGAAAGCACTGTCTGTGTACAGCCTTTAAAGTATGCAAAGCCATTTTCCAGTACTGCCTCCCTTCAGCCTGTTTTCTCATCTTCCACCCAGGGTCAAACTGGTCCACAGAGCAGTAGTGTGATATTCCCAAGATCTCACGACCAGGAAGAAGAGGTAAAACCTGGATCTGAAACCAGGCTTCCTAGGTCTTTCTCTATTTCTAATACAGGGTTCAAGTCATGTCCTTGGTGCCCCCAAGATAACATATATAAGCTTCTAGCACATAGCAGCAATGCATTCAGTGCTATTTTTCTCTCCTTCTCTGATCTCTTTCCATCAAACCATGCTGTTCCTCCCAAAGTGTGTTCCTGAGGAGTTCCTGGATTGCTCTGTGCCTTTATAGAAAAACAAGAATAGTATATACACTTCTTGCAGCCCAGACAGCATCTCTAACTGCTCTGAGCCTACATCTCATGGCCCTCAGGATAAAGCTCAGACCCTTAGCCTGGCATCAAGGTATTCCACGTGCACCCCAGCCTCTCTAATACTGAAAGCGCTGGGCAGAGTTCCTTGTCTTCTCGGTTACAGCTCTACAGTTAAACTACTTAGTACCCTCGAAGTTACTGCCTATTTGGGAAACTGTACCCATCCCTAGACTGTGCTGCTTGAGAGTCAGACAAGTCTTATTTACATCACGTTTCTCTATGAATTAGCACAGAGCCTGACACAGGTAAGTACTCAGTAAATATCTATTGAATTAATGCCACAATCAATGTATACATAAATCAGTGAATCAATGAATGAGGGTGGTGATACCGGCCCTTAATGAATTTGCAGAGTTATTGTAATAAGCATGAGGTTCTAGACAGACACAGAGCCATTATTTCCATGGGTTTATAAGACAGACCTGGAAGCGTTAGCATGTGTGCTCATATAACCTGTATTGGCTGCTGTAGGTGCTGCTGTTTGGGCGGCAGGGCTGAAGGGAACCCGGCAAAGTAAGCTCATGCATCTTTTTGGAAGGAACCATGTTGTCATTTCTGAATAGAGCTTAGTATAGACAAAACATGCAGTTCATATTTAGTATCAATAGTGGTAGATTCGAGCCATGGAGCAGTGTGCTATTCCCATGCAGTGAGTCACCTGGAAGTTCTAAAAGGCTCAAATTGATCTTAACTTCCTAACTTCACTCAATTTCCCTGAGTCTCAATTTTCTCAGCCCTAAATGGAGTCATAATAGTGACCACCTCCCAGAGTGACTGTGTAAGAATTACGCAGATTGGACAATATACGCCTGTGGCTCCCAAAGTTCCTCCAGTTAGTGCTTTCCTGAGGAGTTCCTGGATTACTTTGTTCCTTTACAGAAAAACAAAAATTGCATATAGACTCAAGCATTGCCTGTGTACAACCTTTAGAGTGTCCAATGCTACTTTTCAGTTATTACTGCCCTTCAGCCCCAATTTTCTCCTCTTTCAATCAGGGTGAAACTGGTCCACAGAGCAGTAGAGTGATCTTCCCACAGTCTTCCTGGTGACAACTGGCTGGAGATATGTTCGCTCTCTAGCCAGCATCTAGACATGGAGTGATGAGCATCAGCCTAGTATGTGCCCTGGCTTAAGAATCTGCCCTATAGAAGTATACCGTATTATATTATATACTTAAAAAGATCTCGCTTTCCAACTTGGGCCTAGCAGAGTGGCTCCTGCAAAGAAGGGTGCTGAGAAGAAAAAGGGCCATTTTGCCATCAACGGAGCAATGACCCGAGAATACACCATCACCATTCACAAGCGCATCCATGGAGCGGGCTTCAAGAAACATGCCCCTTGGGCATTCAAAGAGAGCTGGGAATTTGCCATGAAAGAGACGGAAACTCCAGATGTGTGCATTGATACTAGGCTCAACAAAACTGTCTGGGCCAAAGGAATAAGGAATGTCCCACACAGTATCCATGAGCAATTGTCCAGAAAATGTAATGAGGATGAAGATTCACCAAGTAAGCTCTATACTTTGCTTGCCTATGTACCTGTTACCACTTTTAAAAATCTACAGTCAGTGAGGATGGGAACTAACCACTGATTGTCAAATACATCAAATAAATTATTAAATTGCCAAAAAAAAAAAAAAAAAAAAGATCTACAGGAAGCTGCTCTGAAGAGGAGAGCCATGGGTCACATTCCTTCAATCTGCATTGTTGATTCTGGTCCTGTCTGGTTTAGAAAACAGCCTCATTTATTAACAGAAGGCCACAGGGCTGAGAATGGGCCCAGCCCTCTGGAAGAAGGTGATTTGAAACAGATAGGTCCTCAGGATCTCAGCCAAGAGACCTAAGGTGTCAGAGCAGGCACTTGTCAAAGCAGGAAATGAGAGTTGTGTCAGGAGTGAGAGGGAAGCTGGGGTATCAGTGGGTATATCTTGTCCTAGATGGGGGTGTTCTGTAGCAGCCCAGAGGCACAGAGCTGACTCATCAGACAGCAGACATGATAGCAGTGACCAGCAGCACATTACTGCTCTCAGAGAGGAGGTGGTATTGGACCATACTTCTAAATTGTGTACCACACTGCTGCACTGATTTGGGCAGAGGAGGGTAGGGCTGGACTTTTAAGCTGAAGGCCTGTGGGTTGCAGGAGGGTTGGCCTGGAGAAAGCAGAAGCTAACAGCTGCATCTTGTTTTTTGTATAGACACAGGTTAGATATATTCTCTGCTAGACTCGAAGCTATTGTTTTGGCAAAGACCCTGTCCCGGTCTTTGGTCTTTTCTGTATTACGGGAACTGAGCGTGATAGCAGGCATGTGGGAGGTGTTCAGTAAATCACTGCAGAGTTCATAACCATGTAGAACTAGAGAATATGTGTGTTGAGAGGGGGAAGGTGGACATGTTGTCCTAAGAAAAGTATAACTCTAGGATTTGAAATCTTACCCTCTCCAACCTGAGACCTTCTCAGGTAACTGTAGACAAGATTCATGAACACACTTCCAGAGTGAATACACTTTAGATTGATGCAGAGTAGCTGGGACTTGGAAGAAACAACTCCTTATCCCAAGGATAATTTAGCTATTACAAGCTGGGGCCTCACAGAAGGTTACCTAATATGTTTGTATCTGCTTCCTCATATGTAAAACAAGGGGCTCATGCTGTTCATGGGGTAACTGAGGAGTTGGTGAGATGACATGTGAGAAATTAGCAGCCCATAGCACAGCCTGATAAAAAACAAATGCCATTCTGGTGACTAAAGTTCACCATCGCTCAGTTCTGCTTTTTGCCTTGACTCATCCTCCTTGTTGTCTGCCAAAAATCTTTCTGTGTCCATCCTGGTTCCTTCTCATACTAAGAGGTCTATTCACAACACTAGCTGGCATCAGGTAGGAAGCCACCCTTGGTCATCTGCTGTTCATTCCCTGGGGGACAGACAGTGATAGACAGGCAGACTCTGAAAATGGAGCTGAGTCCTGAGCACTGAGCATGTGATCCAACACTGAAGCCACTTCGAGAGGAGAGGAAAGGAGTCAGTAATGTCACCAACTGATTGGCACTGCTTGTCGCATGAGGGTCTTATTTTAGCAATACCTCTGTGCTCTTGCAAGTATCACTTGGGGAAGCAGGATTAGGTTTGCTAAATATATGATTAAATAAGGCAAAATATCAGAGAAGAGGCACAGATGAAGGTTATAAATTTATAAAGCAATAGATTGGGAAAAGGCTATGAGGGTTTCTTTATATATTCCCTAAGAAAAATAAACACAAAGCAGCAAATTTCAACTGTAGAGAGCATGTGGCCTCACAGGGAGAACCATTAGTGGGTTGAAGCCTGGGGTGCATTACTGAAGAGAGGAAGGGATGAGGCCTGCATTTTTTGGCTGCATGGTCTGAGCCAGGCCCTAACCATGTACACTCTAGTCCTACATGGGAGAGATTACTATCTCTATTTTAGTGAAATAGAAACTAATGCTCAGGTTTGTTAAGTGACTCACAAACATCCATGGTATTTGTGAGTGTCAGAGCTGGGGCTTGTATATTCAAAGGCATTGTTCTATGGAATCCCACTGTCCAGAAGCCCTTCTGGTTTACAAAGAAATTTTTAATGTAAATCTTGTCTAATTATTGCAGCAAAGATCAGAGAAGCAGGACTTCAGTGTGAACCTTTTACTTAAAGAGGGTGTTGGGAATACTCTAATTCAATTTCCACTGTAGTCCACCACTCTATGTTTTTGGCATGTTCCCATAACGGCCTAGTTGCCCAAACCATGGCTCTGTTTAGAGGCATATTCTCCTGGATTTCTCTAAAACATGAAACTCTACCGACCCCATCTCTGTTCTTGTTTGGCTCTACCTGTCATCAGCCATAGACTAATCCCATACTTCCAGCTTTTCCCTCTGTTCACAGCTCCCAGCTCCAATACAGCTTCCGACATAAAAGCCAGAGTGATCTCAAATTCTGGATCTACTAATGTTCCAGCTTTGCCCTCAAATTTAGAAGGGTTATCTCTTGCCACCACATTCCATCCAGTTCTGTGGTCTGGCATTCAGTTTATCCATTTTTTTCCAGTGTTTCAAAAAACAAAACATTGTTCATGTTTTTTGCTGTCCCAGTAAGAAAGCTTTGCCTAATCAAAGGTCATAAAAATTTACTCCTATCTTCTCTTCTAAGAGTTATATAGTTACAGCTTTTACATAGAGGTCTGTATAAATTTTAAGTTATTTTTTGAAAATGGTATTATTAAATTTATTTTTAGATGGTTTACATTGTTTGATTTATATGATGAATTTACTTTTTTTCTATTAACATTTCAATTACCTATTGCAGTTTGAGAATATATTGATTTGTTTATTTGTAACCATTAGCCATTCTAAACTCTAACAAGATTCTAATGTTATTTTCAGGGTTAAGAAACAGAAAATAATTATTTAAAAAATATTCCTTTTTGAATACTTCTATTGCTTTTTACTTTATTTTACTGACTTAAGCATTCTAAATAATGTTAAATAATAGTAGGTGATAGCAGACATCTGTACCTTGTTCTTGAATTTAGTAGTAATGCACCTGGTATTTGTTCAAAATTGACTTCAGATATTCTTTATGATGTCAAAACTATCCTATTCCCTCTATACTATTTCTAGTTGAATTAAGACAGTATGGTAAGTTTATGGTTATCTGTTTTCTGCTCTGTTAATCATTTAATGAAATGATATAATGTAGTTGCCAATATTTTCAGTATTGAACCATCCTTGCATTTGTGGAATAAATCCTGCTTAGTCAAAGGACACTATCTTTTTAAGGTTTTGGAACTGCTACCATTACATTTATGATACTTGCACAAATGATATTGCCTCACATTAATATATGACAAATTCCCTTTCTGGGGCCAAGCCAAACTACATTAAAAAAGTAGGTGAAGGCTAACAAGAAAAGGCCCAGATGAGGTTTCATGATCTAATTTTTATTCATTTTGGAGAACCTGATAATTGTCCACGTGACAAAGTGCTTATCTCACAGTTTCTCATTTTAAGGTCCTGCCCCTATTTTGGCAAAGCATTGAAAGGAAGTACTAAAGCATCACAGGGCAGTCTCAATAAATAAAACTGCAATAATACAATAGTTATACAATCACTGAAGTGTTTGCCATATGCCATATGATACTATACTTGAGACTTTACATATTTTATTTCTTCTCCTCCTCCTCCTTCTTGGCAGGACAACTTATTGAAATATTAATTAGTGTTTTCCATATGATAGAAGGTTGGAAAAAATGTGTCTGGAATATATGTTCTTTTCCCCTGAGGGCATTATTACAGGCTTTTGTGTTGCAGCCCTAAAAAGAGAAGACATCTAAAAAAGATCCCCTTGCCTACTCCCACTCTCAGGCCTTTGTTTGAAGAACGTATTGAGATATTGAGGGAGGTGGCATGTGAAGTGGAAAAGGAGGCAGGACTGGCCCTATGTGTTCACACAGGAACCCTGCCTTCTACTGAGATTGCAAGGTAAGTGAAGGTTATCATCCTAGAGCCTAGGATTGGGGAGCATGCTGTAGCAGGTCCCACAAGTATCAGGGTCTTTGATGGGGTGGTTCATGATGTCATGAAATTGACCACTGAGAGGCAAAGCCTTAGCATGATGGCAGAGTTCTCTGTTTGTGAGTGGAAACATTTTCATTTTATATCTCAGTGAATATCTGTGGACTTAAAAACAGAGTGTCTTCTTCTATTTTTCAGGTTCTGTGGAAAGTGTCCTGGACCTTTGTATCAGCCTAGAAAGGAGGTGAGTGTTCCCTCTAACTCTACCTTTAAAAAGTTGCACCTCATTGTTGGAGAGCAAATTCCTATCTTCTAGCTAAATTCTCATGCTAACCTTTGAAAGTTTTTAATCATTATTCCATTTTTAGATAAGAAAATGAAAACCCAGAGAGAGTAAGTAACTGGTCCAAGTAACTGGATGTTATCTCAAGTTAACATGCTTTCAGAAATCATGGCTGAACCAATTATACTATGCTGTCTTACGTTAAAAAAAAAAGCAATTCCTCACTAAGGGACTACTTTATGCCATGTATAGGGCAAGATGCTATAGATAGGTAGGTACGTAGGTAGGTAGATAGGTAGATACATTTTATTATATATAAAATATATATAACACTTCAAGGAAGGTCATCCTATTATATTAATCATTTCATCTTGTGGTAAAATAGAAGATGGAGAATTATTTGGTAGTTATTAGATGTAGTGTTTACTCCCAGTTCTGCCACTAGCTTTGTATGTTAGTTTCTTCATCTGTTACCTGAGAATTACAAAATTTGCCTTTTGATATTTGCATGAGTATTGAGTGAAGTGTTGGAAATACCAGGATCTTGCTAATTGTAAAAAGATGTGCACACATGAACCCTGCCTTCTACTGAGATTGCAATCTACACTGGTCATCTCAACTGAGAGTCTCTCTCTTCAGCAGCTACCAAGATACAGAGGTATACATTACAATGCAGAGGGAACCAGGACACCAGGAGTTGGACACTAGCCTTGGAAACTGATTGTTTATATCTGTGTGTGGTCTCCTTGAAGCAGAGGTTAGTTCATACATAGCTCTTCTGGG